ATCTCATTTAATAGGAATGAGTTGTATATGTTTGTAATTAAATTTTAAAAAGAGCCATATGTATAATTATTCTATATGTATGAACCTGTGTATGTATTATAGTTGTACTTGCATTATGTATGTGCAACAAATAAATCTAAGAGACTTCTGTGAGGAATGTTTCTGTCCATTGGCATAACTAGAACTCTTGGGCCCCTATGCAAAAAATTTTCCTGGCCCTCCTGATAAACTAACTGTGCTTAAAAAAAATGGAAAATTGAAAAAAATCAAGTATTCTAGAAGCTAATGTTTTCATGATGATTTTTATAAGATCATGAATAGTTATTAAAAAATAAAAGCACGTTTTTAGGGAACCAGTTGAAAGATACGTAACATGAAGAAAGAATAATAAGGAAAATATTTTCCCTTCACCAACTGTAAAATGCAAATTTACTTTACTCTGGGTGTAATATTTGAGATCAGATAATTTTAACTAGTTTATTTAAGATATTTTGTGAGCGTGTGTGTGAGAGACAGATTTTTCTCTCCTTTCCCTGAAATACATACTGATAACAAATGAATAAGTCTATATGAAAAAAAGAGCACGACGTTGTAAAGTATAGCATTAAGAAGATGAAAAAAGCCAAGATCTTCAGAGGTTTTTTTTTAAATAAAATCCAGTAAGTTTTACATACAAATATAATATAAATAATTTATAAAAAATATTTTATATAAAATCTGTCCCAATCTACTTTTTTTTTTTTTTTTTTTTTTTTTTTTTTGTTTAATTTAGAAAACTAATAAATAACCGGTTATGCTATGAACTCAGCATAATAGGTAAACGTACAAATAAGAAATTACACTAATATATAGTGCTCTGTGATTTACTCTCTGTGCTCTGTGAACATGACTTATGCAATGATATATGCAAGTAATAAATAAGAACTTTTATAATGTAAACGATACATTTGTTAAATATAAAACTTATTTATCAAAAATTTCATAAAGAAAATTATTTGAACATGCAATCTTTGTAGAAAATATGGTGAGTGGTAAATTTTTTTTATGGAATGGTATGGTAAAGTTTTTCCCCCTCTCTTTTTAAAATACTTTTTGGTACACTCAACTAGTTAAATACATGATTTTCTTAAAAATATGTGTAATCAATTTTTGCCTTTTTCTTGGTCCATACTGGTCTTCTCTAATGTTTTTGTTAATTAAGTATAATTATAACACTTGTGGCCAAAATTCGTCATAAAGACAAAAACTCCTTCTTTATTAAAATTTGCTGCTTCTAACCTCCATGTCCGCAAAATTATTTATCAATACCTGGGCGTCTATTTTCTCAGACATCTCAGCTTCAACACTCAGTGATAGGTCTGACAACCGATCTTGTGTCATAGTGTTTCTCAAATAAGTTTTTATTAGTTACAGTTTTGAAAATAATCTCTCACTCGTGATTGTGGTTACAAGTAATGACAAACACAATACAAATAAATAGCACACTTCTGAATAACTGCTTGCCATGTCATAGTATTTTAGCACTGCTAATTTAACTAAATCCTTAATGGATTTCTGATCTGAAAGTATTTATAAATCACAGCAGTTTGCTTCCAGTGCATATATTTTTTCTGTATTTTTGAAATATTATTAATAATTTCTGCATTTGTTAATGATGACAGATTTTTAGATCCAAAAAAGGAAAACATTATTGCAATTTTTGTCCTTCCAGTCATTCTATATGTTAACTGAGTATTTAAAATAGTGACAGCAACATAAAAAACAGTTACTTTAAAAGGTATTTCGGAATTTTCAAACCTGTAATCCTCACATTAAACCATAAAAATTTTGTTTGTCTTTTTTTTTTTTTTTTTTTTCAAGTTTAGTTCCTGTGCTCCATTTATTGGCAACAAACTCAGCTTCTTTCATAATGTATTCAAATGTGTTTCTCATATTTTGCATACTGATAGAAACATCTTTTAGATATTGATGAGATTGATTTTCTTTGTAGTACTTGAGACGCTGCATTAGTAAAATATAAAACGTTTTTTTAAAAATTGTTAAGAATAAAAATTTAAAAGACTCCATTTTTTTAACCCATTCGCAATGTCTTTTCTTTGCGCTTTCTTTGACGTTAATATAACTTAATTTACTGTTTTTAAGATGTCAAAGTATCTTAGTTTAATTGCTATAAAAAATGATAATCGTCCAGCTCACCTTGTAGGATTTAGAATTTTGAAAGTAGTATTAGAGTCTCCTGAAGACAAGTAAACTTCCATCTTCTTAAACTTTCTCCGAAATTGCACGTAAATATTTTGAAGAATTTCGAAATATTTGCGTAGCTCTCTTATACAACTTGGACTGCATCTTGCACTTGCCCCGCCTTCAAGAAATTTAGAACTTGTTCTTACAATAGACGAGCAATAGCCTGGCCTCGGTTGTTACTTAATAACTTGAAAGCTGTTTTCCAGAGGGGAATTGAAAACGAAAGCATACAGTCCTTTTTGTTTTCCTTCAGTTGAAAATATTGGGTGTCTGTAACACTGAATTTATCTGGTTTCCATCTGCTTCCAAGGTCCCCCTATTTGCGTCGTATATTAGGGGGGCCCTTGGAAACTTAAAAGGAAGAAGGATTCTATTATGTATGTGTTGATAGGTAATAGAATCTCGTGGTTTTAAGTATGTAAATGTAGTTCAGTAGGACATTCAAGCGCCCCCTAAACCTTTGGGCCCCTATGCGACGGCATTCCTTGCATACCCTTATTTACGCCACTGTTTCTGTCTTGAAAGATTGACTAGGTCTATCCTCTTGTGATTATTTATTTTCTTGAGGTTTTAGGTATCCCTAAAACAAAATCTTTAAAAATAAACTGCAGACTTTTGAAGACTGAAAAAATGCTATTCATGCTGAGATTGTAATACAGTACAAAGTCCCAAAATCAGGATTCATCAGGATTTTGGCGATTCTGGATTTTTCCGGATATTAGATCATAAGTTTAAATCTAATAAGATGGCATGTAGATATTATAAAATTAAAAATATGAAATCGTGATTTATGAAATAATGAAGTATTTATGATATAAAGGGTATGAAAATTTACAAAGAAAAGCTTAATATTTATTTGTTTTCCTTATTAAACATTTCTTTCAATGTAAGTTATTTAAGTTGCTTCGTTTTTTGTGCTAATACTTTCTTTTTAATTTTGTAGACAGACGTAATCTCTTGTTTAGTTACATTGTTGAAGTCCTGTAACTGTTGTGTGGAAATTTCCGACTAATTTGTCAATCAAAATTTTCTCGTTTTCAGTAACTTCTCCGTCACTTTCTTCACTATCAGTAGCGGTATTTTCTCGACCTAGAACCATACTACTGATTTCATCATTCATTAATTAATTGATTGATGATTGAGAAGCATTTTCATCACAATGAAAAACTTCTTTTATATCATCTTCATTTATTATCGCTTCTCCACATTTCTTTATAAAATCCATTAATTGGAAAATCTGAAAAACCTTTAAAATTAGTGGCTATCATCATAAAATTTAGCTGTCGTTCACTATACATATTTGGCTGCATCATGAGCTTGGCAACTAGCGACAAGTTGTTCCGTTAAATTTTATCTTGCTTTTATCACGCACTGAGACAATTAAACCTGAATTGTATTTGTTTAACTATTTATTATACTTAGGTCTATTTCTTGCACAATATGTCATGCACTTTCTTCTTATCAGAGTTCTGAATAAATAAATTCCCACATATACTTAAGCCTTATTGAGGGCCGGCACTAGATATCTTCGCCGGATGCAGTCTCTGTTGGTCCTAAGTTCTGTGACTCGGTATGAGCCCTGGCACCGGTTCTGGGTTTATGTGAATAACAAATTAGTTATTCGTAATTCAAATAGCCCTAAGTGTAATCTTTGAGTCTATGAGTATCATCAACAAAATCTATTTTTAGCATATAGAAAGAAATTTTTGGCAAATTTTTCCTCATCAACATTTTTTAGAGAATTCAACTTAAATCTGTAATCATCGCCAAGCGTAATGTCAACATAAAAGGTTATCATACTCCTTTATTATTCAATTACTAACATTAAAAAAAAAAAATTTTAGGCATCGCTACATAAGTCATTACTCAAGTTGTTATGTTTTGATAAACGTGGTGATGGAAGAAAAGTATAATAAATCATGATCCGCCAGGTCAACGATGTATTTGTGTGGAATGTTTCGGGCCAAAGCAGATATGCAGCAATGGAGCCAAATTACTGATCGTACAAATTTATGCTAAAATGATTGTGTCTTCAATAACAATGTATTTTATTTAATGTCGAAGTGAAATTAAGAATCAGGACTCTCCAGATGTTTCATTATGAGGGAGGGGGCGGAGGGGGGAATTAAATGCACTTGCTTAAAGCCTGTGTGAAAAACGTCATTGGTGGTTTTGAGGTCTCTGATTTTAGATCATTCCCGATAATGGACGTCTGGATTTCGGACTTTGTATTGTAATAATAAAGGCAATGATGACTAATGTACACAGCAGAACTTTTGGATGGAGATTAAAGAGTGAATTTTTACGAACAAGCATTTGGGACATATCTTTAAAGCAGAGTGAAGACAAAATGGCTAATTATAAGGTCCGGATTTTAGATCATTCCGGATAATGAACGTCCAGATTTCGGACTTTTTATTGTAATAATAAATGCAATGACTAAATGTACACAGCAGAACTTTTAGATGGAGCTTAAAGAGTGAATTTTTACGGACAAGCATCTGGGACATATCTTTAAAGCAGAGTGAAGACAAAATGGCTAAGCAGAGTGAAGACAAATGGTTCTGCCTGTTGGTAAAATAAAATTTGGGATAGGACTTGTGTTGCCCTTTTCATTTTTTTTAAATCGGAAAATTCAGTTATGCCTTTACATTAAAAATAAAAAAAATTTGTACTAATTGTATTTTGTTCTCTTTTTATTGCCCAATGTCACCTGCTGTATGATGTACCTTTTAAGTGTCAGTCATACATTTATTATTTATTTTTTGTTATCTAGGCATGTATTTAGAAAATGTTTTGGCAGTTGCTGAACGTGAATTGAGAAGGGAAGTTGATTACATTAATGAAGCTCAGTCTGGGAAAACTTTTAAGTATATCTTTAGACATATATACTTTCACATTTTATTCCTGATAAGATTTTATATATACATTTATGTATTCTTTATGCATAGCTGTGGAGTTAAATTGTTTACATTATGCTTTCTTTTAGAAAATTGTTAGAATCCTATGAAGAATTCTTAGTTCCAGAAGTTTACGAAGATTTATGCACTACAAATGTGCTTACTACAGAATTGGTTTATGGAACTCCAGTAGACAAACTTCAAAATGCTGATCAAGCTTTGAGAAACAAGGGAAGTGCATCATTATCACTGCTAACAGTGTTTTCTTGTATTTACTGTACTTAATAAAAGCACATATTTAATTTGCAGTATTACAATATTTTTTTTTATAATTTTAGGTTTGTGAAAATCTTTTGAATCTGTGTTTGAGGGAAATTTTTTTATTCAGATTTATGCAAACTGATCCCAACTGGTCAAATTTCTTATACAACTTTGATACAAATCAAGTGAGTATCTGAACAACTGGTTCTGTATTGTTTTTAAAGAAATAATTTTAGGTTAAAAATTTGAGTGTAGGAAATTTTCATTTTTCATTCAGTTCCTCTTAATACTTCTTTGCTGTTGATCCTATTTATTTATCACAGTTATTTAAAGCTCATGAAATTCTGTGTTAAAGGAACACAAGAATGCAGATATAAATGAAATACTGTAATTGATCATCATTTCCATTATATTTTTCTTAAAGTAATATAAAATTGAAAGGAAGTAAAATAAAACACATAAAAATATTATAATTTATTATTATATGAACAAAATGAATCTGCTTTTTCTTATAAAAGTTATCTAAAATAGTTTGAATAAGCTTTTGTTTCACTTCTTTCATGCTTTTCCTCATAGCTGTTGCATGCATTTTCAATCATACTATGAACTTGACTATTTCTTTCCTGGGCTGAGCCCCAAATTCATAATTTGTGTTTTGATTCTTTAGTACTGTGAAACATTTCCTAAGACTGCTCAATGCTTATTTGAATTTACAATTTGCTTCCTTAGTAAATTTGTCAGGATGAGGTTCAAGTTCTTTTATTTCCATGGAAATATTTTTAAGTATTGCTGTACTGGTGAATCTCGTTTTGTACTAACTGTGAATTGATGAAAATATACAAAATGGTCATTGAAATCAAGTATACAAACAATTCAATTGTAATTATAATCTCTTTTATAATCCTGTCTTGACTATGCTGAGTGGCATTAATCCCATATTAAGTTAAATCAAGTTTGTGCTTAGTAAACTGTGTGAATTTGAAAATGTGCTAATCAAATGTGTGAATTTGAAAATGGACTGATCAAAATCATATTAATTGAAGGATTCCTGTATATTATATATTTCCGTAAAGTTGCATGCATACTAAAATTTTATTTTACATAATTTGTTGAATGTAAATATTAAGCACAATAGAATGCAAAAGTGTCTAGAAAAAAATAATAATTTCTGAATACTGTTTCTATGCATACAGATTTAATTTTACTAATTTGTATTTATTGGGTATAAAAATTAAATTTAATGGAGCACATAAACATCTTGAAAACAAGATAGTTTCTAAATTCTTCTCTATGTTAGTGGTAGTTACTTCAGAAGCTAATATAATTAGATGTGCTTTGTGCAGATGATATCAACACTGTATTAAAACTAACTAATAATCAAGTAAAACATAATGTTTTCATTGATGAATTGTTTATTGCAAGTCATGAAATACAGTATAAATGTTGAAGAAATTAGTTTTGAGAATGGATGCTTAGGAACCAACATTAATGATATGTTTTAAGCAAAGAGGTTTCCTGATACCGTCTTTTTCCGAAAATAAGACACTGTCATACTTTCTTTTTTGGTCCAAAATACACGCTAGGGCTTATTTTTTTTTTTTTGGTCCAAAATACGCGCTAGGGTTTATTTTCGGGGTAGGGCAAAAATAAAAGTATATTTATATATTTTTATTTAATATTTAATTTACACAGAATACAGAAATTTAAATTTATTCAATTACAGTCACGTTATCTTCTTCTGGAACATCGTTTAATAAATAAAATTCTGATTTTCTTCCAAATCCATTTCCTGTGGAATCATTGGTCTGAAATCTCTCATGTCTTGTGATATAGCTATTGTTTAAATGAATACTTCTTGTGTAAGTAGCCTGTTTGTAGTGCATTGGAAACATCACTATCAGTTATATTTTGTCTAACTATGAATTTTTTACCCAATTCACAACTTCTTGTGAACGTATCTCTCTCGGGGCAAACGGTGAACTGGTTAAGATAATTCCAAGAATTAATTTGAAACGAACTGTAGAGGTAAACAATTAATTTCTCGGAATATTTTGTTTCAAAAATTTCTCTGAAATACGAGCATTAGGAAAGCTAAACATATTATTACTTATACTTAATAAATCAGTAGCATTTCAACAAATTCTTTTTGTCACATTCTTTTAACTAGGGATTATTTTCGGGGGGGGGGATGTCTTATTTTACAAAAAATTCCGAAAATCACGATAGGGCTTATTTTCGAAGGATGTCTAATTTTTAGAAAAAGACATGAAGCTGAAAATTTCTTGAGATATGATTTTATTAATTTAATGAAAGTAATTGGAAGATTAGTTTTTGCAAGCTTAGTAAAGAAGGCCTTGATGACAGATGCATTTGGAACGCATTCTCAGAACCAATAAAACATGCTGTGATTGCTGATTCCCTGATGAAAGTTTTGACTTTGTTTTCGATTGCATTCAGAATTTGTGAACTGCTGTTATGTTTTTTATATAAATCGAACAGAGTTACAATAAATGAGATTGAGTTCATCAAGGTGATGAAGTAAATCTATCATAATATTTTCATACATATCATTGGTTGCTTAAAATGTCACACTGTTTATTTCCTAACAATTTTAATTTGCTACCTTTGCCAGTTTTTGAGAATATTGATTTTGAGGTGTTATTCAATATTTTATAATAAAAATTGTTTAGTGTCTTATCATCAACACTCAAGGACAACTGTTCAACATTAGACTTGATAAAAATTCTAAGTACTCATGTTTGTGAATTTTGTGTTGTAACTGTGATCAAAAGTATATTATCAAGGTTGATTTTAAGTAATACATGATTTCTTATAAACTATATAAAACATATGAACCCTTTGAACAATATGAAAGTTTGCAGTTGTAGATCCAACACTGTCAAAATTTCACTAACCATATATTTTTTGAAAGGAAAGAATTTGTTGTAAAATTCGAAAGGAAAGATTTTGCTGCAAAAATTGAATGAAAACTAAAAACTCATGCATAAGCCAAATTAAAAATCATACCTATAAATTCAGCTGTATGTAGCCAAAAAATAATTGATCAACCTAGAGGAGCTGAAGGTGGGTGCAGAGTTCTCATTCGTTCAAAACAAAATAGACCAGAAACAAATGGGGGATGGTGCCATTTTATCCAGATTTAGCAGAGAAAGGCTTCCAAAAATTACCAGAAAATTCCAAGTTGGATTCTAATATTGCGAAGTTTGATTAATATGTAATAGTATTAAAAAATATAAATATTTCCAATTATTAGTATTTTTCAATTATCTACTTTTGGGGTCAAATTATTTGTGGGTCATTCTAAGCTAGTATATAAACCAACCACCAAATTTCATTAGCACACCATTTGCTAAAAATTCTCGTCTTATACACAGAATTAAACAGTTTTTTTTTTTTTTTTTTTTTTTTTTTGACTTTACAAAAATATAATTATCAACAGCTTAAATTCTACTGAATTAATACACACATTCATCTCCACATTTTTAAAATTGACCCTTAAAAAAATGCATTTAAACATTTGTCATGTACTTAGATTTAAGAAAAAATGAGTTATAACTTCATAGTAACTCTCATAAAATGTATATCTCTTTCTTTTAACATATTCTAAAGTACTGAAAAACAACACAGAAAATAGATGTAAATGAAAGCAGAAAAAATGTGCAGATTGGTGATTTTGATGCAAAGCTGATGATATTTTGTTTGGCATGTTATACAGCTTTCTGCTGTATGCATTGAAACAATTTTCAATTTACGTGAACCCAAATTTTAAATGTGGGTTATTTTTATGAGATAAATATATTTGAAAAACTTCTTTTACAGCTAGGAATGCATGTGGCAATATGAAACCTGTCAAGTAGAAGAGACATCAGCATGTATTTGTGCACATCATCTGCAAACTAATTTAAAAGTATGGGATTTTAGAACTTTTGTAATAGATGTTAAGTCAGCTACTGGTGTTTATCAGTTTAACAAACCAAAATTCATCTTAAGTGGAATTATCAGTAGATTTAAAAGGCATAATAAACTTGCTATATAATGGGCCTCTGTTTGAGTTCCTCTTTTTTGTTGTTTGACTTCTGAATTAGGTTCTAGGCACGCTGATTCTTGAGTCATTAGGTTATTTCAAAGCAGGAGATGTGAGAAATTAGCAATGCCCTCACCGGGACTCGAACCACAGACCTCTCGAATTCACATCGAGCGTGCTGACCACTACACCACAAAGGCATGCTAAGAAGGCGGGAGAAATAACTTATAATCTTATGGTAAATGTGATGGTAATATTCACTTGATTTCTAGTTATGTGATTTGTGGATCATTTGGCGATAAACCTGCATCTTAAAAAATAAATAGCAATCCTAGAGGCTTTATTAGAAGGTGGGAAACAGGAGATGCAAGCTATCTCATGTACATGAAAGGAATTTATATATAGATAGATTTAGACAGCATTAATGGAGAATGCGTTCACAGTCATCATAAATTTAGACGATAGCATTAATGGAGAATGTGTTCACTGTAAGAATAATCAGAAAAATAATTGGATCAAATTAAAAAAAAAAAAAAAAAATAGAAAAGAAAACTTTTAAGCTTAGGCGACCATGTGATAACACATAATCTATGATTTTTTATTTGGCTTGTTCCTAAATGGTGTATGTAAGTGGTACTTTCTGTGTCCTTTGTGTTTCAATCAGTCTAACTGAAATATTTTTTATTTTTGTTTAACCATGATTAAAATGAAAATATGCTTTAGAGAAAGTTGATTAATAGAAAAAGAAAAGGTGCAATTTGGAAAATTTTGCATTTTTTTCATTTCATTCACTTATACTTGTTTGATCATTTATGTGTTGGATTGTTAAGTATTGTAATCCATGCCTGTGTCAATATTTATTGGATTAAAAAAGGATTGTATTTATAAAATAGAATAGTCTATTTTAATTTTTGATATCTGTTATTAAAAACGTTTTAGGGTCAAATGATGTAACAGTTGTGCATAAATAAAATACTGTTCTTAATGTCAAATATTTGAAATATTTAAGTACACTTAAATTCAAATTAAGTAATGAAACATTAGATTTCTACTAGCATGAGATTATGAACACACAATGCGTAATTTTCATACAGATTTAACAATAGTTAGTTCCTCGGTCATTATCTTTGTTTACTCTTTGTAATGGTAAATATTCTGTTAAATTTTTCTTAATATTTATGAATTAAACTTTTGTCTCGTCAGATTATTTGTGTAAACAGTTTTTGCCAGTAAATGTGTATAAATAGATGGTCATGTAAGAACGATTGTAAATTATTTAATTGTTATTAGACAAAATATCTATTGAGAAAATGGCAACAGTTAATTTCTGAATGTCATTCTATTTATAATTTTAAAAATATACTTTCAGATGATGTACGCTTCAAATGTTTAACGGTACGATGCAGTAAGTACGTTTGTTATGTTATGTACGTTTATAAATACGTTACGTATAGGTTATTAAGATTTATCTTCAAATAAATGTTTGTCTTTTACAACCATTTTACGAGTGATTAATTTAACTACAAAAGGAAGTTAACATAAATCAGAAGCGGGATTATTCTGAAACCTAAGCCTAAAACTACAAGAATTTGCTATATGTAAATAAATTGAAAAGAATTTGAATTTCAAGGTATGTGCATTAATTGATGTAGCATATTTATTATAGAATTTAATTTTGTTATTTTTTTATCCATTTTGGAAAGAGAGTTTATTTTATTTTTCATTTCTTTAAATTTTGAAATATATTTAGTAGAACGTCAAACAAACTTATAAAATACCAATAACTGTGTTCTACTAAGTTGTCTAATTGGAAGTTAATAATTAATAGCATATATATATATATTTGCATTTTAATGAAGTACGAAAATGTCTATTTTCGGTAAGGCAAAAAAATGCGATTTTTAAGAATATTAGCTGAAGAAATTGGAAGAGAAGATATAAATGAGAGTCATAAAATGAGCAATTTGAAAAAGATAATTTTGGCTAGCAAAGAGTACGATGAAGAATGCGCCAAAGAATGGTTAAACATTATAATAAATGAAAGAAAAGAAAAAGAAGAAATTGAAGAACGTAGACGAAAAGAAGAATATGAGGAACGAAAATGAAAGTATGAAATGGAATTTAAACTGCAAAAACTACGTATTGAAGCAGAAATTAGATCTACAAATTCTGGCACCAATGAAAATGCTAGTGGTACGGACATGAATCCAAAGTTAGAGCTTCATCGTTTGATGCAAAAATTTAAACCTGACGAGAATGATATGAGTTTTAAGTTTAATCATTTTGAACGTTTTGACGTTTTAAACAAGTTGAAATACCAGAAAATACATGGGTTACTCATTTGTTTAGCTTATTGCCGTATGATATTGCTCAGTTAATCGCCATAGAAATCGATGCGATTGCAAACGATTATAAAGAAATTAAAAGGATCTTATTAAAACGGTACAAGATGACACCTGAAAAATTTCGCCAAAACTTTTTTACGCACAATAAGAGTGTAGGAAACACATGGAAGAATTTTGCGTATGAGTTAAGAAATTTTTTTAATGAATTGATAAGCGGAATTAAAGTAGATACTTTTGAGAAACTTAGCGACCTTATTGTAGCGGATCAGATAAAACGTAAAGTGTCTCCAGAACTAAAAGAACATTTTATTGACATATGGTCTGAGTTGATTTCACCAATTGATTTAGTTGGAAAACTAGATGATTATGATACCTTGAAGTCAACTTTCAACAATAAACAACCGCGTAAAGAAGGGTCTTACGACAAACGAAACTCCTTTAAAGATGGTCCAGTTGCTACAATCAACGAAAAGAAAAAACTCTACGGTGTCACACATAATGGAAAAGATGAACCAAAATGCTTCAGCTGTAATAATTTTGGACCTATTTCAAGGGACTATCCACTGCCCAAACCAGTAGTAACATGCCGAAAATGTAATAAAACAGGTCATGAAGCTAAAAATTGTGTTAATGAAGCTGAAAATAATCATTCAAATGATAAAAATTATTTTGTTGAGCACTTTGGCGAAAATTTAGAAGAGAACAATTCATATTTGAAGAAAGCAAAACTGAATAATTCTGAAGAAGTACAGGCTTTAATTGATACGGGGAGTTCTTGTTGTCTCTTAAGGACTTCAGTTGCTCAGAAACTTTAAGTGAAACCAGAACCTGCTATGAATGAATTGTACGGTTTTGGAAATCAAAGGGTGCCTGCAGTGACCTCTGTAGGAATGATTAAAGCCGATATTGAAGTTGACAATGTAAAAGGCCAAGGCATAAATATATACCTTGTACCTGATAATGCACAGCCAGTTGATCTAATCATCGGACAGACAGGACATGGCTTGATCCTCACACATCGCTTATGTCAGAATAGGAAAAAGATTTCACTTCGGGTATAGAGAAGATGAAATATTTAGTAACCTCCAAATTGATGAAAAAATAAATAGAGTCTGCCTTAAAGCTCTTGAGGAAAATGAATTAGAGAAAAATAGTCCTAATGCTGCAAATAAAAATCAACACTCTGGCCAACTGTTCTCTAAACATCACTTCATGCCAAGGCAAAGACAGAATGATGAAAGTGATTCTGTCTTTAGTCAGAGCCAAGAGAATGTAGATGATAAGCAGCAACTACAACCTCAAAGGCTCGTATGAAGGCAATTACGTCATCCTTACTTCAGGCAATATTGCAGTTATATATCCATAGGACTTCCACGAAAAGTTGAACGTGATGGAAGTGAAGATGAACAAAATGAAAGAAAAAACGAACAAAGAGTTTCAGGAGGTGGAAGAGACAATCACTGGAATCCCAGACGATTTTATCAAAGGTGCTTTAATAGCAAAACCCACTATCATAGGAATGACACTCAATGCAGTCAAAGTAGAATGGAAGGAGAAGCAACTAGTAAAGATACTGAAGCAAATGACGAAGAACAGCAGCCACGTGGTCAAGGATATAGATCTTGTCCACTTTACAGATCAAAAATGGGTTGTTGAAAGCCCCACCAAGCTGATTCACGTGCTAAAAACAGATCTTCGGAGGCCATCATTTCCAGAAATACAGAAGATGATGATAATGACAAGGTTGACAGCGAACTTAAAAGGCCCAAGCGAATAGTGCGCAAACCATTGCGCTATAGAGACTTTGTGTAGAAATTTGTAGAATTTTTTTAAAATTATATTTGATTTTATTTTTTTCCTACCTACTTATTATATTTTGTTGTTGTTTATTTGTTTCTTTAATGTATGACAAGATTTGGTTCAATTGAGGACAATTGAAAAGTCAGGATGGTCGAATGTAAGAATGATTGTAAATTATTTAATTTTATTAGACAAAATATCTATTGAGAAAATGGCAACAGCTAATTTCTGGATGTCATTCTATTATAATTTTAAAAATATACTTTCAGATGATGTACGCTTCAAATGTTTAACGGTACAATGCAGTAAGTGCGTTTGTTATGTTATGTACGTTTACGAATACGTTACGTATAGGTTATTAAGATTTATCTTCAAATAAATGTTTGTCTTTTACAACCATTTTACGAGTGATTAATTTAACTACAAAAGGAACTTAACAGTCAGTAAATGGATGTGAGTAAGTGGATTTGATTATAGCAAACCACTCTAGGACTCTTCATGGAAGACTTAGGAAGGTAAGCTTGCTCATTTTGATGATGGGAAAAACTATGAAAATGCCCATTTAAGCAAACTGTATACTGGTATTCAGTAGATCAAACTACCAGTTCTTAGCAGCCTTATCTGCTTGGCCATAAATAATCCTGTACATAAGTACAGGATATTTCCATTAAGCAACATCTTATATGTGTTATTTAATATAATAATTTTGCTTTTTTGAAAATAAATGGCATTAATTTTGACAGGGTTTTTTTCTTCCTTTAATTGTAAAGGTTACAAACATAAGTGATAAAATACTAACCACAATATCTTCCCCTCCAATGATGCATTGAAATATTTTCTTTCCGAGGACTGAATGCCTTCTTGCAATATAAGCATATCAGTCACAAACACCTATGTCTTATCAAGGGATAAATCAAGGCCTATGCAGGAGAATCAGCCTTTGCTAACCACCATCCTATCTGCTTTGGTTTCTTTCAGAGAAGATAAACTCTTTTCAAAATTATGTGCATTGCATAGCACATTGCATTGCATATTCTGTTCCAGAACAATTAAAAAATGTTTATGGTAACATAATAATTTTGAAAGTTCAAGAAAGTTTTGATTCTTTCTATTTTCAGATAGTCTTGCTGGATTTTGGTGCTTGTAATGAGTATACACCAGAATTTGTTGATATATACATGAGCATAATCAAAGGTGCTGCAGATCAGGACAGAGAAAGTGTTTTACACTTTTCAAGAGATCTGGGATTTCTAACGGGTTATGAAACAAAGGTAACAAACTTAATGAATTATAATATGAAGACTGCATTAATAATATGTGGCAGAACGATGTCTAATTTGTTTTTCTTTTATATAATTCGTGATTAATTTTTTGTAGATCATAAATATACATTTAATTACACAAAATAATTCACGGGAGTATTAACAACTGTTTTAAAGTTTAAATAAAGGTTCTTCGTTATAGAAAGTTAAAAAAATCCTCCTCTCCATTTCTTTCTACTGATTCTATCAATTAACAATTAATTTGTACTGATAGTCCAATAAAAAACAGCTATTGTTTATTCATGTTTTTATCTATTTCACTGGAAAATTGCTGATAGTTTTTTTCCCCTTTTGTTTTCTTATTGAAGGAAAAGTTCCTTAAATTTCCAAAATAATGGTAATTTATGTAATTATATTAAATTACATTACGCATTAAAACTTTTTTTTGTTCTATTACTACATAATGATTCTTTCTATATATAAATTTTGCTTGTTAAATAAGTGAGTAAAAAACTTATTCAAATGCAGTTTTCTCTCATTATAATGCTTTGACCTATAATTAAACTAGCTTTATAATGAAAGCGAAGATTATCCCAGTGGAAAAAAAAAGAGTATTTTGTAGTGTAAGAGAAGTTTGTATATACAGTGGCTCCCAAAAGTGTTCGTATACTTATGATTTTCATTGAAATGAGGCTGTACCCATTAATTAAAAGTAAACTTTCTGAATGAGATTTTAATAATAAAAATATGTAATCTATTCGTAACAAAATTACATGAAATATTTTTTAAATAAGCAAAACTTTATTTTTAAGAAATTAATAATCAAAAAAAGACAAACATTTTATCTCACAAAAGTCTTCGTACACTTCAAAACAATCTTGACATATTAGTAAATATTTTCATATTTCGTTAAATTGTAGCATATCCTTTAGCATCCACAACAGCTTTTAAACGTCTGGGAATAGATTTTATAAGGGTTTTTTATTTATTTATTTATTTATTTATTTATCAATGTTCATCCATCCATTCTTCCATCATGGCTGTTTTGAGTTCGCTTTTTGTTTTGATTTCGTGTTTTCATACTGTAACCACCAGCTCTGTTCTATGGGGTTTAAATCTGGTGACTGAGGTGGTGTTTTCAAAACCTGTGGACAATTATAGAGACACTACAGGCGAACATTGAGAGAACTTAGAATCGTTATCATGATTAAAAATAAAGTTATTTCCAATACCCAAATTTTGGGCTGATAATTTTAAATTGTCTCTTAAAATATTTAAATAAAGATAATAATTCATTATGCATCAATAAATACCAAATTACCTAGTCCTGATGCTGTCATGTCCCCCCCCCACACACACACACAAGAACACCTCCACCGCCATGCTTAACTGTCCCAACTAAGTTCTTAGAATGAAGTTCCTCATTTTTTCTTCTCCATACAGTTATTTGACCATCGGAACCAAAAATGTTAAATTTGCTTTTTTTCAGCAAATAGGACATTATTCCAGTACATTCCGGGTGTATTTATCATTGATTTTGCGAATGAAAGCCTAAGCTTTTCGTTTTTCTCATTAACAAAATTTTTTTTTGCCGGCAGAAGGCCCATGTAATCTAGCTTCTCTGAGAACTTCTCATCAAACAGTTTAAGGTGAAATTGAAGTAGAAAACTTTGCATTAAATTCTGCAGAAACTTTTACAGCACTCAAATGTGGGTTTTTCATTAATTTTTTAATAATAAATCTCTCATCACCTTTAGTTAACTTTCTCGGTCGACCTTTTCTTACCTTGTTTTCAATCCAATTTTCTTCTTTAAAGCGTTTCATCACATACTTCACTGTAAAATGGGATAAATTAACTAATTTAGCGATATTTCCAATAATTTTGATTTTATCCAAAAATATTTCAGTGTACAAAGACTTTGAGATAAAATGTTTATCATTTTTTGATTATTAATTTTTTAAAAATAAAGTTTCACTATATTTAAAAAATATTTCATGTAATTTTGTTACGAATAGATTATAGATCTTATTATTAAAATCTCATTCAGAATGTTTACTTTTAATTAATGGATAGAGCCCTATTTCAATGAAAATCATAAGTGTATGAACACTTTTGGGAATCACTGTATATGAGTATTTAATGCTGTGTTTTAAAAATCATTTTAATGCATTCAGTAAGAAAAAATCAACAAATAATATATAAACATAAAAAAATACAATACATATTGAATAATAATTAAGTATACATATGATAACATTTATGTGCATTTACTTGATGCATATGTAATATTGCTTTATATACATTTAATGCTTATGAATAACTACCATTTTGTAGCTATGTGTATTATTACAGGACTGTATCTCCTGCATATTCTCAGTAATGCTTGGAGAATTGCTTTTTCTTTTTGCATATGTTATTTCAAAGCCATATTATTTATGTGAGACTTTAGGTAACTCCTGCTTAATACCTGAAGTTATTGTATTATTTCATGCTATGGGAATGCTATAGAAATTTCCCTGAAGAACTAAGTTAGGTAAACATAAAAACTAGAATTTTTACTAAGATAAATAGCAATTTATACAATAAGATAAATTGTTGTTAACTCAAAGTTGGGATGGGGAGCAATCGGGCAAAATTCTATTTATCATACTAGGAGTACTGAAAATCATCAAAATTTCTCACAAAGGAAATTCCAAAGCAATAATCATAGAGCAGGAGTTCAACCGTGTAAACATGCTAAGAACTTTAATCAAACTGTGTGACAACTGTTCACAGTTTACCATTTACTCAAGGGTAGTGATGAGTTGGTACTACCGAACCGGGTATTTTGTAACGGGTACTGAAAAGCAGTACATCCAAGTACCCGTTACTTCAGTACTAAAATCGGTACTTTTCGGTATTCGTGACTTCTGTACCGAAACGGGTACTTTTCGGTATTCGTTACTTCTGTACCGAAACGGGTGCTTTTCGGCATTCGTTACTTTGTAATGAAAATATGCGTCTCTTATCGGTATTCGTTACTGGAGGATCGATGAGGGTTCAGCTCACTTCAGTTTTGGTACGAGGACAGTAGTATCTGGTTGTATTTGCGAAATGGTGATATGCGCTCCTTGTGTCCATGAATGGTCTGCTCCTCAGACACTTCTGTAGTTGACATGTTTTCTGATATTCAAAATCTTACTCCGTACAGGTAAAATCAAACACGTGGTGACGTGGCAGAGTTCCTTCAGTGCGCAAAATCGTTAGCTGCGTATTTCGGTACTCCAAATCGTTACTAGTACTTCGTACTCCAAATTGTTACTAGGGTACTTTGGTACTCCAAATTGTTACTAGGGTACTCCGGTACAGCAAACCATTACTAGGGTACTACGGTACAGCAAACCATTACTAGGGTACTACGGTACAGCAAACCGTTACTCCAGTATTTTGTTACTTCGGTACTCCAAATCATTACTTGGGTACTCGGTACTTGAAATCGGTTTTCAGTACTTTTCAAAGTAATGGTTACTTGAGCAACGGGTATTTTGTACCGGGTACTTGTCTGTACCCATTACTCTCGTACCGGGTACAAGAATGTACCGAAGTTGCCCATCACTACTCAAGGAGAGAGGGGGATAAGAACTTCTGGAAGCTTAAAGTAATAAATCACTGTTAGGGATTTAAAAACATGTTTTTCAGTATGTTGCTAAGTTGGTGAGAAATCACCAGTTGTCCCTAAATAGCCACTCACCCCATATCTCTGGTTGTACTTGAGTTTTCATATCACCCCAATATCACTCATAAAAGATCTATGAAATGCAGCAGCTAATACATGAAATAAATAGATATAAATTTCCTTAGAGGTCACAAATTCAAAATTATTTAAAAGGCACAGTAATGAGAAGTCACCAATTGTCCCTAAATCGCTACTGAGCCGAGGAAGAGAATTTAGCTCATATCTCTGGTTGTATTTTAACTTTCTTATCAATCCAACATCAGTCAACTCAGAATTAAAAGAGCTACAAAAGCATGCAGCTAATGCATGAAATAAACACATACAAACACACAGCCCAAAATTCAAAATTATTTAAAAGCCACATTAAATGAATATAAAGTTTTTATTCAATAATAATTCATATTAGGGATTTGAAAACATATATGAATATAATGAATATAAATTGTGTTTAAGCCATGTTTGTTTATATTTTGAGTCTTACGTCTGCATTTCAAACTCAATAAATGTATTTATGCTGTAATATGTCCTTCAAAGTAGTAATTTTTCTTGATAATTTTTGAAGATGCACTTGAAATTAAATCACCGTAGCTATTTTTTACTAGTATTCCACATATTTTAGTAACATTTTATGCTACTTTAGTGCTTTGTAGTAAAAGCTGAATCCACTTTTTTTTTTATATAACTAGTTAGCATGACGACTCAATTTTGAGTACTATGTGTGCATTCAGATAAGTTTTATCTAGCACTGCGCTGATATGGCAACATCATGTAAGGATTGGTAACTGACTGATTTTCAATTTGTTTAGGTCGCATGCTACTAAAATGAAAAAGAACTTTAAAAAACTATTATAAATATATGAAAAACCCTATTATTAATAGAATAACGACAGTTAACAATTAATACTGAATGCATAGGCAAGATAAGAATTGCAAGTTATTGTCCTGATTAAGTAAGAATCTTTGCAAGCAGCCAGAGTCTCCAGTCGAGACTTCTGAGTTCTTGCTTTTTCTTAAACATTTTGCAGACTGAATTAGTGATGCTGTCTTAATTTTTCAGTTGTAATTTGTCATAGTTGGAACAGTATCTGAGAAGAAAAGGGATCATAGGTTCCTTATCCTCCATGAAATCAAAAGGTTTTGGTGACAGATAGAGTGCAGATCTCTTGACACTGAACGTGAACTTATGATTCTTGAAATGTCAGGTGAAGCTGTAACTGAACAAATTATGCTTCTGCAATGTCAGAGCCTGTCGTCTCATACCTCATAAAAAGTGGAACACTGTGACCTGTGCGA